CAATGAAATTTCCTACTATTGTAGCAACATTACATTTGATCAAACTTGTAGAACAACTAATTTAATCTGTCAGTTTATTGTGTTTGTCTTCATCAAAGGTACTGAACATGTTTTATTTTACATAAATTATGTGAATAATCAAATGAACAATACAGGCAGTCAAAAGTTAAATGTTTTATTGTCTAAGTCGATGTCATCAACAGAGATAAAAAATGTTTCAAATATGCAGAAATTATTCTGCCCTTTCAAAATAAAATCTAGCCATTCGAATCTAGCCATTTTTCATTTTAAAAGTCTATAATTAGGAATGTAAATATAAAGAGAAATCTAAGTGTTTGCTTTGCTGCAGGTTCTCCTCAGCATATGTCCATTTGATGTGTGACAGCTGATGTCATCTCAAACCAAACYGGGCTTGTCATTCTCTAAGTCACGCTGAGAAAACAAAATAAAAAATCCTGTCTGTTCAGACTCAACAAAAACTAAAATCGTCACAAGCTTTCAAGCATTCAAGCATTCAGGATTACATGAACAGGTCTGCACGCTATGAAGGAAGGAATTCCAGCTGAGTTTAAATAATTAATAAGTTTAGAAAGTAAAGACAAATCCTGCAAATAAAACATCCACTGTTCAAACCAAGCATCTACTTTAACAATCCAAAGGCTGCAAATCGATTAAATTCAACATAATTTACAAAACAGCTCGAAATGACTGAATCATATTGGAACAGAAGCTAATAGAATCATTTCTGGCTTTTTGGTTCAGTTTGAACATTGCAAAGAGATTAAAATGAGTTTGGATTTTATTTTCAACACGTTACTTTTAGAGGCGACTGCGTGAGAAGCTGTTTTCAGATGAGTTTAACCAGGAGGCTCTGAAAACTGTCGTTGGTTTAGGTTTATTTTATATTAAATATTTTCTTTTTAATCATTATTTTTATATTTTCTGTTTGAAATTACCTTTGTTTAAACTGTGCCGTTATGTCAGCTACCCGACTTTAAGCTGAAAAATTTGGATAGCTAAAAAA